GGCAGAAGAACGAGCGTCGGGTGAGGCTAATGAAGCTCAACCCCAGCAAACTCAAGATGCTCCTCCATCCAGCCAGGGCCAAACGTGTCAACCCTGCCAGTAGCAGTGAATCTTGATTGTTTTTCTTTCTATCTTCGGCCTGCGAGCCGAGTATTTGATGTATTCTTCTTTTCCCCGGACGTAGTTTCGGCTGACAATGATTTTTTATTAATAGAATTTGCCGAATGAGTTGATTTTGCCCATATTTTCCTTTGATATAATCTGCTTCAATTTTTGCAACTTTTCTAGTATGCTCGTACAAATCTTGTTCTTTTTGCAATTTGACCTTGCACATGCGGTATGCCGAATGCATTGGCTTTACCTGCCCCTGAACGATTGTTTTCTTAGAATTGCCCAACCCTAAGAAGGCAGCCATCCAATCAAGCATCTGGACGAGTAGATAGACTGTCATTAACCATATTAAATTTAGAATTATTCTCAAGTTGGATTAGTAGACGGTGCCGGCTAGGGCCAACCTAGATTATTTGTTTAATCGGCTGCGAGTTACCCTTTGGGTATCTGTCATCACCGTTGTTAGGATTTAGGTGGCCATTGGCCGGGCGTAGGTATATTAACCAGGTTATGAATCAACTGCTAAGGTTTTGACCTTGCTTAATTTGGGTTTATAACCGGTTGTAGTGCCTTTAGGCAAAGACCGGTTATATTTGACCAAGATATCAGTTACCATTTGTGTTGCGTTGAAGCAACGACTGGTTGTATCTAGGTTTCAACTGATTATTCAAACGGCCGTGAGTTATCTTTAACCTAGATAGTAGGTTAAAGCCGCTTGAGTTATGATTTATAGAACAATGTACCACCCATATGGGGATGCTCTCTTGGACGAATTCACCTAAATGGGCGTCGCCGGTTGCCTGATCATGTTGGAGCAGGCGGTTTAAAGGCTATCCGGCCATTGGCCTTATAAATAGCTGCTAAGTTTGAGGCTTACGTATGACCGGTTATGCATTGCACAAATTGGACTGCGAAAGAAAACATAAATAAAGCATCTTTTCATTAATATACTCTATTTACAAAGATTTACAAGTCTTTAGAAGTAGTACTTTTTCCAGTTATCTACATTCCAAGTTCTGGCTAGCTGGCTGCCGTCTGGAGTTTCCAGGCGATAGGTGCCGCTTCTAACTACATCAAAAATCCGGTAGGGGCCTTCCCAATTGGGGGTTAGCTTTCCTTGCTCACTGGCCCTACCGATGGCCTCCATTTTCCGTAACACAAAGTCCCCCACTTTTAAGGGCCATTTGTGCACTCTTCTGTTGTAGGCTCTCGTCATTCTCAGACGGTATATCTCATGACGCAAGGCGGCATTGCCCTTGCGCTCCGGGAGTGAATCCAATGCTAGACGCATGGTCTCCTAATTAGCCTCTTCATCATAGAGCATGATTCGGAGTGTTAGATCGTAATGTTCAATAGGCAGGACGGCTTCAGTGCCATATGTCATGAGAAACGGGGTTTCACTGGTTGCCTCTTTTTCAGTTGTTCTGATGGCACATAGGACATGAGGCAACTCATCTTCCCATAGACCACCAGCTCTTTCAATTTTCTTTTTAATGCCGTCTGAGACGAGCTTGTTGAAGGCCTCAACTTGGCCGTTTGCTTGGGGATGGTCGACTGATGCAAAACAATGTGAGATCCCTTGATCTCCCAACCAGCTCTTGAGGGCAGGCGTTTCAAACTGAGGGCCATTGTCGAAGACCATAGACATAGGTACCCTAAACCGGGTGATGATGTTTCTCCAAATGAAGGAGATGACATCCTTTGTCTTAATGCCCTTAACCGCCTCTGCCTCAACCCATTTGGTGAAGTAATCTACAGCGACCAAGATATACCTCCGTCTGCCTGTAGCAGGCTTATATGGACCAAGGATGTCCATGCCCCATTTTGCAAATGGAACCGGGCTGTATATAGCCGTCAAATCAGTGGCCGGACGATGTATGAGTTTGCCAAATCTTTGACACTGTCACACTTCTTCACCATTTCCATGGCGTCTGCCTCAAGAGTGGGACAAAAGTAGCCTTGTCGTTTAGCCCTTTTTGCTAAAGTTCTACCGCCAATATGTGATGCACAAAAGCCCGAGTGCGGATCCTCTAGAACTTTTTTCCCCTTTTCTAGGGTAATACATTTTAGCAGCGGCTGGAGGTAACCCTTCCTAAAGAGTGCTCCATTATGGATCTCAAAACTTGCGGCTCGCTTCTTTAATGCAGCCGCTTCTGAAGGGGCATCCGGCAAAGTGTCGTTTGCCAGGTAAGCCCGGATGGCATCCATCCAGGTCGAGCTTCGGTCAAAACTCCAATGGGATCATGTTCAACGCTTCTTTTTTCCATGACTTCCCAAAAGAATGACCTAGGCGTATCACAAGAGGCGAATGATGCCAACTTAGACAGTGCATTTGCCTGATTATTTTCTGACCTGGGGACCTGACTTAGATGAAATTCATCAAGTGTCCCGGCCTCGTCTTTGACGGCCTGCAGATATTTGATCATAGCCGGATGGGTGGCCTCGTAGTCACCATGGTATTGGCTAACGATCAACTGTGAGTCAGAGCAGTTGTCAACCTTTCTTGCCCCTTCCGCCTTACACATGCGGATACCGGCTAGTAGGGCCTCATATTCCGCCTCATTATTTGAGGCTTGGAACTTGAACCTCAGTGCATATTTATATTTGTCCCCTTCTGGAGACTTGAAAATTACGCCTGCACCACAGCCATTCATAGTAAAGCTCCCGTCTACATATACCTTCTAAACCTGATTAACATTCGGCTGAACTAGCCTTGTCATTTCTACAATGAAGTCGGTGTACGCCTAACCTTTCACTGCCTTTCTTGGTTCGAAGGTTATTTCCAGACTTTGCATTTCAATAGCCCATTTGAGCATTCTGCCGGATGACTCCGAGGTTGTCATTGGCCTCTTAAGGGGTTGATATGTGTAGACCACCACCGAATGAGCCAAGAAGTAAGGTTTCAACTTCTTGATTGCCATTAATAGGGCAAGGCTAAATTTTTCAACCAAGGGGTACCGTAGCTTAGCATTCCGAAGTACATGGCTAATGAAATATACCAGAAGATGAATACCGTCTCTTTCAGCTAGGAGGACGGCACTGAGGGCATGATCTTAGATGGCCAAATACATATAGAGAACCTCTCCTGCTAGAGGGCTAACCAGACGCGGCAATGAGTGGAGGTGCTCCTTCAATTTCTAGAATGTCGCCTCAACATTTACCCCCCATTCGAATCTAGTCTTCTTTTTGATTGCCTGGAAGAAGTAGAGGCACTTGTCACCTGACCGGCTGAGAAATCTCCCCAAGGCCGCCAGACAACCGGTAAGTTTTTGAACTTCCTTGACAGTGCGGGGTGACTTCATGTCAATCACCGCCTGTACCTTCTCCGGATTGGCCTCTATCCCCCTTTGATCAATAAAAAATCCGAGAAATTTCCCAGACTCAACTCCAAAGGCACACTTCTTGGGATTAAGCATGACCTTGTGCCGCATGATGGTGGTGAAGGTTTCTCGGAGGTCAGCAAGGTGATCCGTCTGTAGCTTAGATTCGATTATCATGTCATCAATGTACGCCTCTACATTCCTCCCAATTAGATTAATGAAGACTGTATTAATCATTCGTTGGAAGGTAGCAGGCGCATTCTTCAGCCCAAACGGCATCACCATGTAACTGAATAACCCTTGATCAGTGACGAATGTCGTCTTCTCTTGATCTTTTTTCCACAAGGGTATCTGATAGAAGCCTGAGTAGGCGTCCATGAAGCTCATCAAGGCATGACTGGCTGTAGAGTCGACTAGACTGTCGATCTTTAGAAGTGGATAGCTATCCTTCGGACATGCCTTGTTCAGATCTGTGTAATTAACACACATCCGCCAGGTACCATTCAGCTTCTTAATGAGGACAACGTTTGCTACCCAATCCGGGTAGTAGCATTGCCGAATGAACCCGGCATCCATCAGCTTCTTGAGCTCGGCGGCAGCCGCCTGAGATCTTTCCTCGCCATGATTTCTTTTTTTTTTGCCTAACCAGCTTCTTTTTTGAATCCACGGCGAGTTTGTGAACAACAAGATCCGGGCTGACGCCTGGCATCTTTTCCACTTCAAAGTCAAAAATGTGTTTGAATTCTTTCAGCAGTTGGTGCAAATTTGCGCCCAACCTGGCAAAAGCAACCATCCCCACCTTGACAGTTCGTTCCGGACGGCTGTCGTCAAGAACAATGTCAATATTTTCACCAGCCGACTGGGGACAGAGATCATCTGACCGTTCCCTGATCAGTGATTGCTATTCCTTCTCTTTTTTTATGGCCACCAAGTGGTCCACCTTTCTCTTTTTGCCGCCTGCTTTGGGAGCAGGCGCGACTTCCTTGAAGTCATCAAGGTCAATAGGTTTCTCGCCTTGGCCGACTGTGGCCACAGTAGGCTTGACGTCAGAGAGGTAGCACTCCCTTGCCGTCTTCTGATCCCCATTCAAGGAACCCACTGACCCATCATCCCTCTCAAATTTGATCAGCATGCACTAGGCGAAAAAACGAATTCCCCATCGGTTCAAACCCCCCCTTTCCCACCGGTTTTGAACCGGGTTCTATTTGTGGGGTGCTAAAACCCCATAGATTTCGCACCGGTTCATAACCGGTGGGAAAAAGGACTTTTTGCACCGGTTCTTAGGAAAAACCGGTGCCAAAAGTCTCCAAAAATATTAAAAAAAAAAAAAACTTTTAGCATCGGTTCTTTACTAAAATCGGTGCCAGAAGTGCCCCAAAAAAATAAAAAAATAATTTATTTTTTTTTGCATTTTTTTCACTTAAATTGTACAAATATTTATATATAATCATAATATACATAAAACACATATATTTTCTTCAATATTTGTGTCATACATCCATTAAAGAGCACTACATCTTTGATAAATAGAAAAAAAAAAAAACAGATTGCAGATTGCTCCCACTGACCCTAAGCCTGCAACAGAGAATGAGACAGCACAGCCACACCACGACTAGCAACCCAAGCAGCAGCTACAAGCAAAACAGCAACCAGAAGAAGCTACACCACGACTAGGCAGCCAACACCAGATCCAGCACGAGCTGTCAAAATTGCCAGCCACATTCATGACCAGAAATTGCCCTAAAATTGCATTCAGCACCATTCATGACATTCAGTGCATTGGAACAGACATGATAGACGTTAAAGAGGCATGATATGGAGAAAACCGGCATAAAACCTATTGCTCAACCAAGTGTCCATATGCAAAAATACAAAATAATCTGTACTGAAGATGAGCTCCATGCTTATACATGGAGGGGAAAAAACAAATAAATCGAGTTTATAAAGAGGGAAAAAAAAGAGGGGGGGGCTGAACAGGTGAACTTACCTCTATGCCCAAAAGTGCATTCAGTCCATCCTCCAAACATCCCAACAAATATACATCCTACAAAAAAGATGTATATATTAGCAAATGTCCTTTTCATAGCCATGAAACAAGCAGGCTTCATAATTCAGTGACTCACCAATGAGCATGCCACCCCACAGACCAAAAATCTCACACTCACTTCATCGTCATAGATTTTAACAGCAGAAAGATTACTCCCAGAGCCATCTTCTTCATCACCATCATTAACCTCGGTCAAAGCAACTTCAACAATGAGAGCCTCCCCAAGAAGAGATGGCCCCCCAGATTACAACCAGCCATTTGGATGTTCCGGGGAACCACTACATTGTTCCGAATGCAATAAAGACTATATGATGCATGAGCCAGTTGGAAAGCATCCCAGGTATGGCAGGGCGTACTGCATGGAAAAAGAGTTAAATTATAGTTCCTAAACATATCAACATGCATAAGAAATAAACACCACACAATCAGGTTTTTCTCCATGCATTTGATCAGTAACACAGGCCATATACTGATATTAACTGATCCCAAATTGAGGTACTCTAAAGCTTATGCTAAGAACAAGTAATAAGTATATACTTGTTGTTGTTGAGGATATTGATTGTACTCTTGGGTTGCCAAGCTGCAGAGGGAATTTGGACGGCTCATTCGACAATGATGAGGACTATGTACGTGTTAATGAGCATCAAACATCAAAGGTATGTTCTGTATTACAATTTCCTTAGCTTATTACCAATTTACTTAATCATATCATATGAACTTTAAAGGAGTCATTGTTCTGTATACAAATAAGTTTTGTATCAATAAATTGAAAAAGTACTTTTTAATCTTATATCAAAATTGCATATGACAATACAATTTATACAAAAACATAGTAAATCTGCAAAGATCAAAAGTACCAATTAAAAAAAAAAAAAAAATTTATTAGCAAAATCCAATTGAAGAGAACAGAGAAAAATCTAATTCACATTGGTACATGTAATGAATACAACATGAAATATACGGACTTACAGAGTATGTTATATGTACATTTAATGAATAGTTCAATTCGTAAACTTTGATCAGAACAATTTTAGTTTCTATAATCAGGTTTGAAACAGTTTGTTTTTGTTAATCTGGCTCATGTCATGTGACAAAGTTTTACACTGGTTGTCATTGGCCTACTGCAACCCTCCTTTATCCAGGCTTGGAACTGGCAGCGGGAAACCCACTAGCGGAGTTTTGTTAATCTGGCTGTCTAGTAAAAATACCCCTTCCGGACATATTTACTTCTCGCATGCATATCTCACTTCTTGTATTTGTGATGACATGATTTTGTAGTAGTTTACATGTCTATATTCACCCCATCATCTAGTTTAAGTTGTGGTACATTAGTATATGTAACTACAAATTTCAAACATGCTGAAGATTAGATTATATGCTTGGAGTATACTTATATTCTATATCATTTTGATGTGATTACTACTTAGCAAAGGAATATTAGAGAGGATAAATTTATACCTTCCATATCTCTTCCTCGGAATAAAGACCAAGTGGATCCACATTGGTTCTCACCGTTCCCTGAAATAGTACCGGCTCTTGTGGAATGATCCCAAAGCGAGACCTTAGATCATGCAGGCCAATCTTGCAGATATCGATGCCATCAATTATTATCTTCCCTCCATAAGGTTCAACTAGCCTGAAGAATACCTGTATAAGGGTGGACTTTCCACTCCCTGTGCGACCAACAACCCCAATTTTCTCGCCTCCTCTTATGCCAAGTGTGATACCTTTTAGAACTAATGGGGTGTTTGACCTATACCTTACCTGTTCATGGTTGCAGGACATCCATTCATGAGGTAAAATCAACATAACAGAACAAGAAAATACAAGAGCTTACATGTAAATACCACATACAAACTCCTTTATTCCTAGTATTTACATCTTTTTTGCTCTGGTATGGATTATTTCTGATATCTAGTACGCTAGAGATTGGACAGATGATCTTAAAACCAAATCAACAAATCTGCATTGGTTCAAAGATTTTTATTTCTGATAAGACTGCATAATCTTAATGTTGTGATCTTCTAGGGATGTTGCCATTCACCTTTCCTAAAGTCATTTAAGAATCCATATCATATAAACCTTAATCAATTACAGAAATCAAAGTATCTTTTGTGCAGAATCCCCTTGACCTAATACAATAGTCAAATTGTCCCATCCCCTTATCATTAAGGAATTAATTTCTTCGAGGTAAAAATTAGCTTGGAAAAATCAACCATCCTCCAAACTCTTATAATCTAAATATGCATTTATAGAGGAGTTCCAATAATCAGATTGCAAGCATCAATGTTAAACTTATTAACCTCTCAAATTTGCGTAGCTTAAAACAGGCAGAGATTTATAGTTTACAATTTGTAGATTAGTTTTTAAACAATAAATAAAATAAAATAAAAATAGAAAAGGTAAAATAGTTTTTAGAGCCATACCACCAATCTTCGAGGTGTACCAAATGCCAGAAGTTGGATCAGACACTGGCTTACTCTTTTGTTCACCTCCTTTTCTAGAATTTGTTTCATTATTAACTCTCTGATTTTGATTTTCATCTCTGGCTCCTGTTGATTTGAGCCTTTACCATCAGAATCACTCTGTCAAAACAGAAAAACTGAGTGCAAAGTCTTCTCTGTTGCATATTTGCGTTCATAGATGATAGCTACAACAATAATGACACAGTCGATTTTGAGTATTCATCTTGTAAATGCCTATTCAATCAAACTCCAATTTGAGAACAGATTCGACAAACAATAAGAACATACTTGGTAAAAATTACAGCAGCAACACATTTAATAGAACTGTAACGCTCTCTGATGGACTTAAAAAAGATGGACCAGAGTGACTGCTTTGTCACAGGTGCCCGCCTAGCAGTCTCAGCCACGAATAATTGAATAAAGAGCGGAGACATGATCAAGAGAGGAATTGACAGCTGAGATTAATGTAACACTATCAGTAAGAGAAACGCTAACAACCAAGATAACTCACAGTAAACAACAACATCTTAAGAGGTAAAAACATGCCTCAAATATGTACTTTCTCGGAATAAACTTTGCTAGCAAACTCCCCAAGACATATGAAGCAGACATTACACCTGTGATCCAACTGAATGCTGCAACTCTTTTGTCATCCTCAACTACATCTGCCTATCAGAGAGTAACTTTTATTCTTAGTCATTTCCATTTACAAATTCCAAATGACAACTTGAGTAATATCTTACCGCATAGGCAATAGCAATGCAGAATACACTTCGGAGACTTAGAATGTAGGAAAGACAACGAAGAGCGAAGTATGCATATATGAATGCCCTGGACTTGTTAATGGCAAGAAGAACTGAATGGAAAAAAAAACCAGGAAAGATGTTGAGCAACACAAATCATCAAGGAAAACAGGTCATAAAGTAGTACATATGAGACACTGATTTGCAATTTAAAGAAGCTGGTAAAGGGTGCAACTACTACAAGTCTTTTACCACTGAAAAAGAGAACACACTACAGGCATGGAGGCACCCTATATATGTACCGATGATGTATATCTATTTTAGAGTGCAATTGACCAAAAACAGAGTTATACAAAACAATTCATTATTTTTTCAAGCTTATAGAAGTTCCAACAAAGGGAAATAAGAGATAGGTAGAGTGAGATGCTGATCAAATTACATACCAGATTCGACAACCCTAAAACAACAACAAAATCAACCAACAATTCATCAATCGCAACGAAGATCCAAATTGAGAATAGCAAAAAAAAAAAAAAAAAAAAAAAAAAAAAAAAAAAAAAAAAAAAAAAACCATAAGGAAGCGAAATTGAAGCAAACCAGGAGAAGCATTTTCATAATGTTTGTAAGGCATTAGAAACTAACAGGATATCAACACCTTCAGGGAGAAATCCAAGGGATAGAAAGTCATTTGCTAAACCCAGTGAGTCACGATTAACAAAGTGCACAAGCTGCAAAAAATAAACACATTCAGTCAGGGAAAAAAAAATCATACTATCACCCCTCCAAACTGTTATAAACCGAACTGCTGTAAACAATAAAAACAGAACAAAGTTACCGGGAAATAGACTGAGTCGCGGACTATGTCGCTCTCTTTAGAACATTCACGGTACTGCCCTTTAATTTGTGCAAGCAGCTCGTACAACAACCGGATGTTCCCCAGGATAAAACAGCCTTCCTCTATTGTAATTATACCGGTGGAACTGCACAAAACCACCGGGCAACTAAACACCAAAAAAGAAAAGAAACTGCTCGAGGGTTGTTGTTTTTGTGAGGAAAAATAGAGAGGAGAAGAAGATTGCTTTCTGTATGTTGTTGTATCTCAAAAACAGGAAATCAACACGCCTTTTATAGGAAAAATTGCAACGTAACTGCTGCTGTTTAATTAGGCACTAATCACGCAATTAAAACGGTCATAAGTTGAACGTTCAAAACGGTTACATAAGATTAATGCGTGGCAAAACGTTTAGCAAAAAATCAGTGAAAACGTTTGCATGATTAACGCTCCATTAATCAGTTTTGAAAAAACGGTCAAATGTAATCAGTCAAAAAACGTTTAGCAAAAATCAAGGAACTAATCACGCAATTAGCCTTGTCCAAAAAATAAGTTTATTTAATAAACCCGACCCGACCCAACCCAACCCGGCCCGGCTCGGCTCGGTTCGGTTCGGCGCGCGTGTGTGTGATAGATGGTTTACCATATAGGTCCTCCCTCTCCACAAAATGTGGGTAGCCCAAGGGCCACACCCCTTTAGCCCACTCTCTATATTATAAAGAGAATAAAACTCTCATTTCCCACCAATGTGGGACTTTGATTTTTTTCACAAAATTCACACACTACACACTTGTTGTTCCAACAATCCCCCACTTGAATTTTTTGAAAACATTTTCGAGCAGAATCCATACATATATAGGTTGCGCATAAACAGAAGTGTTTTTCAACTTGAACTTCGACGTAGTGAGTACGATTCAGATTCAACAAGGGTGACTCGAAGTTTTGAACCCTATCTCTGACAACGTACCACACACAACCTACTCTTGGTGTTGTTCTAGACCCGTGCTATTTCGGCCATGCACGTCTATCCCAGTGTAGTGAATGCTCTAGAAATGCTGCCACACATTTCATAGGAAGCGGCCTAACTTCCACATTCACATAGGTGAATCTATCAAGAGTACTCCTGTAGCTTGGTACTCCACTCCAAATTGGAGTATAGATTTCATTAAGAGTTCCTATTAACTCATCCTTGATCGCTTCAGGAAATTATGTCTTTTTGAACATATTCAACTCATAACACACCATAACTTGTTATTACCCTTTGAACCTATTTCTTGGGATCTCCAGTTCATAGGTTGGGTTACCATTATGTGTGGTTCATTTCAATGGCAATAGTCCCATTTTCTTAGAGGAAAAATGGACTTTCTCCCTAGCTAATCCTTTCGTCAAAGGATCAGCCAAGTTATTCTCAGTGCGTACGTGATCCACTCTAACAGCTCCGATAGAGAGATATTCTCTCACAGTGCTGTGCTTACGACGTATTTGTCGTCTCTTACCGTTGTAATAACGGTTCTGAACTTTTGCAATAGCCGCGGTACTATCGCAATGGATCAAGACAGCCGGTAATGGCTTTTCCCATAGGGGAATTTCAGCTAGCAGGCCTCTTAACCAACCTGCTTCTTCACTAGCCGTAGCTAGTGCTATCATTTCTGACTCCATGGTGGACTGAGCCAAAATAGTCTGTTTCTTAGACTTCCAAGATACAGCTCCACCGGCTATAGAAAAAATATATCCACTAGTAGCCTTAGAGTCATCTGATAAGGTGTTCCAGTCAGCATCACTATAGCCTTCTAGTACAGCTGGAAACCTTTCATAATGCAACCCTAGGTTCATGGTCCTCTTAAGGTATCTCATGACCCTTTCAATAGCATGCCAATGCTCATTACCAGGACAACTAGTAAACCTGCCTAACAATCCCACGACATAGGCAATGTCGGGTCTAGTACAATCAGTGGCATACCGAAGGCTGCCAATGATGCTCGCATAATCAGATTGCCTTACGGCATCACCAGTGTTCTTAAATAATTTAACACTGGGATCATAAGGTGTACTAGCAGGTTTACAGTCAAAGTAACTATATTTCTTTAGGATCTTCTCAATGTAATGAGATTGATCCAAAGAAACTCCATTTTCTGTCCTAGTAATCTTAATTCCAAGGATTACATTAGCCTCTCCTAGGTCTTTCATATCAAACTCAGCATTCAACAATAGCTTTACATCATTCACAGCATGAATGTTCGAGCCAAAAATTAACAAGTCATCCACATATAAACAAATTATAGTGCATATGTCCTTCTCAAATTTTACATATATGCATTTGTCACTACCATTTATCTTAAAACCATGTGAGATGACTAAGTTATCAAATTTTTCATGCCATTGTTTAGGTGCTTGTTTGAGACCATAAAGAGATTTATCTAGCTTACATACCAGATGCTCTTTTCCTTGAACAATGAATCCTTCCGGTTGATCCATGTAGATTTCTTCTTCCAATTCACCGTTCAAGAATGCAGTCTTCACATCCATTTGATGTACTACAAGATTAAAAACAGAAGCAAGAGATATTAATACTCTAATAGATGTTACTCTAGTTACAGGTGAATAGGTATCAAAGAAATCAACATTCTCCCTTTGTCTGTAGCCTTTAGCTACCAAACGGGCTTTGAACTTATCAATGGTCCCATCAACTTTCAGCTTTCTTTTTAGGACCCATTTACAACCAATTGACTTGCAGCCTGGTGGCAACTCAGTTAGGTGCCAAGTTCGGTTAGACTCAAGTGAGTCCATTTCGTCGTTCACGGCTTCTTGCCATAAATCTGCATCCACTGAGGTTAGAGCTTCTTGGAGGGTAGAAGGATCCTCCTCTACATTCAGAACTACAAAGTCTGGGCCGAAGTCTTTAGCTACTCTAGCCCGCTTGCTCTTTCTTAGTTCGGGTTCAGCATCCAAGTCTTGTGAGTTAGACCTGTCTTTAGGAATAATAGAGGAGGACGAGCCCCCACTATTTCTAGATTTAAAAGGAAACCTGTCCTCATAAAAATCAACATCATTAGATTCAATAATTACTCGTGCACTTAAATCAAAGAATCTATATGCTTTACTATTAACAGCATAGCCAATGAATACACATTCATAAGCTCTACTAGCTAACTTAACTCTTTTAGGATCAGGAATCCTAACATATGCCAGACAACCCCAAGTTCTGAAATAAGAAATGTTAGGTTGTTTGTTACGAAGTAATTCATAAGGAGAAATCTTACTCTTAGTCTTTGGAATACGGTTCAAGACATAACAAACAGTGAGAAGAATTTCTCCCCACCAATGATCAGCAGCACCAGAATTTAAGGAAATAGCAACTACTAACTCAGTAAAGGTTCTATTTTTCCTTTCAGCCATTCATTTCTGGAGAATAAGGAGCTGATCTTTCATGTATGATACCATGTGAGTTATAAAACTCTACAAAAGCATCAGTATCATACTCAGTTCCACGATCACTACGCAACCTTTTTATTTGCTTGTTGAACTGATTCTCAAACTCTGTCACAAACAACTTAAACATATCAAAAGCATCACTCTTATTTTTCATCAAATAAACACGAGTATAATCAGAACAATCATCAATAAAGGTGATGAAATATCGTTGTCCATTTCTGGTCAGCGTTCCATTATATTCACAAATATCAGAATGAATTAAATCTAACGGTTCTGAGTTTCTAACAACAGACTTATGAGGTGTTTTTGTAATCTTAGCCTGACTACAAAAATCACATTTATCAAAGTCATTGAGGGAAACATTAGGGATAAGGCCTAAATTGCTCATATTTTTTATGAGTCTTTTGTTCACATGACAGAGTCTAGCATGCCAAATATTAACAGAAGAAGACAACATATAAGCAGAATCAGAAATTTTATTAATCTCAACATTCAGTTTAAACATGCCATCAGTAGCATAACCTTTCCCTACAAACATTCCATTCTTAGTTAAAGTAAATAAATCGGAACCTATGGTTTGTGTAAAACCAGCCTTATTAAGAAGAAAACCAGAAACTAAGTTCTTTCTCATTTCCGGAGTGTGCAGTACATCCTTCAGAATGAGAGTCCTGCCAGAAGTAAACTTCAACTCAACATTACCAATACCAGCAACATTAGTGGAATGGGAATCACCCAACAGCACTTTCTTATCATCGGTGTTTTCAGAATAAGTTTTAAACATCCGACGATCATAGCAGACATGGCGTGTAGCGCCAGTGTCTACCCACCACCCTTCTGATCCACCAATAAGGTTGATCTCAGTAATCATAGCCACAAGTGGCTCTTCTATCATGCTAGCCTGTGGTACAGGGTTAGGCATGTTCCTGCACTTTCGTGCCATATGGCCTGGTTTTCCACACCTATAGCATAGGAATTGACCAGTACCATTCTTAGGGGGTTGAATTTGTTGTTTTCCATCGTTCTTTTGAACATTCTGTTTATTTTTGTTGAAGTTATTCTTCCGGTTCTGAGGCTTGAAGTTCTTACCAGCGGGCTTGAGAACTGCAGCAGAACGCTTAGGAGCATTGTTTGCAGAGAGCTGTAAGACTTCTTCTTTCTGGTCCTGTTTTCTGGATTCTTCCTCTATACGGAGCCGAGTAATCAAACTCTCTAAGGAAAATTCCTTAGTCTTGTGCCTGAGACTGTTTTTGAAATCTTTCCAAGAAGGAGGCAACTTGTCAATTATAACAGCAATCTGAAATTGTTCATCAAGAGCCATACCTTCGGAAATTATCTCATGGGCAATTTTCTGAAGTTCGTGGGACTGCACTTCCACGGACTTATCATCAGTCATCTGGAATTTAAGGTACCTGCTAACAGCATACTTTTTGGCACCGGCTTCTTCGGTGTCATATTTCTTTTGCAGGGCATCCCACAAATCCTTAGCGGTGTTTTCCAGATTATAATAGTCATACAGGTTATCAGACAGACCATTAAGAATATAGTTTTTGCACATGAAATCGGTTTCATTCCAAGTTTCAATTTCAGAATTCCAATACACTAGATCATCTTGTTCAGCATTATCAGGAATAACAGGCCTAGGGACAGTCAATACAGAATGAACTTTTTTAACAGTTAAGAAAAACTGCATTTTCTGTTTCCATCTTTTAAAATGAGCGCCTTCAAAACGGAAGGGCTTGTTAAGGTCATTGGACATAGTTATTTCCTCGGTAGACATGATGATTATAAAGGCAGAAAAGAATGTTCTAAAATTGTTATAAACCGAACTGCTGTAAACAATAAAAACAGAACAAAGTTACCGGGAAATAGACTGAGTCGCGGACTATGTCGCTCTCTTTAGAACATTCACGGTACTGCCCTTTAATTTGTGCAAGCAGCTCGTACAACAACCGGATGTTCCCCAGGATAAAACAGCCTTCCTCTATTGTAATTATACCGGTGGAACTGCACAAAACCACCGGGCAACTAAACACCAAAAAAGAAAAGAAACTGCTCGAGGGTTGTTGTTTTTGTGAGGAAAAATAGAGAGGAGAAGAAGATTGCTTTCTGTATGTTGTTGTATCTCAAAAACAGGAAATCAACACGCCTTTTATAGGAAAAATTGCAACGTAACTGCTGCTGTTTAATTAGGCACTAATCACGCAATTAAAACGGTCATAAGTTGAACGTTCAAAACGGTTACATAAGATTAATGCGTGGCAAAACGTTTAGCAAAAAATCAGTGAAAACGTTTGCATGATTAACGCTCCATTAATCAGTTTTGAAAAAACGGTCAAATGTAATCAGTCAAAAAACGTTTAGCAAAAATCAAGGAACTAATCACGCAATTAGCCTTGTCCAAAAAATAAGTTTATTTAATAAACCCGACCCGACCCAACCCAACCCGGCCCGGCTCGGCTCGGTTCGGTTCGGCGCGCGTGTGTGTGATAGATGGTTTACCATATAGGTCCTCCCTCTCCACAAAATGTGGGTAGCCCAAGGGCCACACCCCTTTAGCCCACTCTCTATATTATAAAGAGAATAAAACTCTCATTTCCCACCAATGTGGGACTTTGATTTTTTTCACAAAATTCACACACTACACACTTGTTGTTCCAACACAAACAGAAAGAATTATGTAAAAGGACACAAGATATGTAAGCCAATTTAGTATTTTGCACAACTAACAGCAGCAATAGCTAGAAATTATTTCCAGCATGGATCTCGTCCCGCTAACACCAGGGTCAAGCAAAGTCACATCCAGCCTTACCTCTATTGGCTCTAAGCTCTAGCTTAATTAAGATGTGTAACTTATGCCAACAGCTATACTTCATTCTCACCAGTCATAAAAATGTGGCTTTTACTAAATTTTAATTACAGATGTACAAAAAAATTAATTTGGGAAAATTTTCAAGGAAGGCCAAGTCCTTGCACGCATGCCCCTACAAAGGTCTGCCTCTGTGGTCATCAATGTCTATTAAGCTCAGAAGGGAATGCCGTTGCTACAGAGTTTGCAACACAGGTATATGTGATCCCACTTGTAAAAATTTGAGCTTTTTTCTTTATGCCACAACCCAACCCAACCCAACTGTTACAACATAATCCACCCAAAATCTCAAAGCAAACCACAAAGAACAGAAAACCCTAAATCAACGACTAACCCTAGATTGCGAAGCTATTCAATAGACTAGGAAGACCACAAAATATTTCTTACCTCGAAGCTGCTACAATGGAGTTGGAAAGCTCAGAATGCGCTTTAATGGAGGTCACAAAGCTCGACAGTATGCGCTTCAATGGAGGAGATAGCTATATATGGAGAGAAAGAGAGGAGTTGCGCGGCAATGGAGGTGAGAAAGCCCAGGGAATGCGCTTCAATGGAGGACAACCTATGCGTGAAGGAGATGGTGAGGGCAGGCGAGAACGAGAGAAGAAGATTAATTGAAGGGGAAGCAGGGGAATGAAATTGTTCGTGCTGAAGGAATTGAAGAAGAAGAGTATTTCACGGTTTTTTTTTTTTTTAATTTGCGTACTTTCCCCACCGGTTTGGGTTAAACAACACATTTAGCACCGGTTCGAACCGGTTCGAAAACATACATTTGCCACCGGTTTCAAAGGAATCGGTGCGAAAAGTAAATATCTGAATCCCGCCCAAATCTTTTCCAACCGGTTTTTAAGAACCGGTGGGAAAAGGGGGGTGCCTTTTTCAATTTTTCTACTAGTGATGAGGGATGGGATGATGACTGCCTTGGACTCGTTTAGGGTTGGACAGCCCAAAATCAGATTGTAGGCAACTTGACGAACATGTGTCGTCCCTCCCTCTTTTTCTCCTAGCCGGATGGGTAGGTCAATCCTCCCCACCGGATGCACTACTCCTCCCCTAAAACCAACTAAGGGGTGAGAGACTTTGTGCATGCTGCTAGGCTTGTACTTGAGCTTTCCAAGCACCGATAGCTGGTAAGGTCAGACGAGCTCCTGGTATCAATGAGGATCCGACCCACTCGTTGGTTGGCAACCTTTCCCTCGATGACTATAGGGTCATTATGAGGTTGTCGACCTTTCCCCGGTCCTTCTTAGAGATGATGATCTCAGGGAAGGTGTCTTTCGACGCATGGCCCTCATCCACTGAGTTTACCTCCAGCTTTCTGATGTTGTCCTTGGTTCCCTGGATGGTAGGACCCCCTCCCACGAAACCGCCTGCTATAGTAAAGATTTGCTCTTCATCAGTGTCAAAGCTTATAGAAAGGTTTTCAGGCTTCTTGGACGGTTGTCCATTGTTTGTTCCGGGGTTACCCTTGGACTTCTGAATATAGGACTTCAAAGCCCCCTCACCAGCCAGACGGTCCAGTAACCGCCTGAGGCTATAACAGCCATTGATGTCATGGCCTATATCCTCATGAAAATGACAGTACTTGCTCTTGTCCCGGCTTTTGATGGGACTTTTCATTGCAGCCGGTTTCTCAATGGTCAACCGGTCTTTAATCTCCATGAGGATGGAGGAGCAGTCCTTTTTGAACTCGTACTTGGGGACATACGGCTTTAACTCTTTCTTTTCTTTTGGGACGGCTGACTAGAATTGTCCGCCACCTAGACTTCTTTTCTTTTCTTGCTCTCTTCTTTTTTGGGCGACTGAGCTAACCGGCTCTCTTTTTTGTCGGACCTTTTAGGGTCCGACAGTTGCTTGATGGCACAAAGCTCCGTCGCCTGTATATAGGCTTCGGCTTCCATCAGAGCTTCTTGGAGGGTAGCCACCCTCTTTCTGACTAAGTCAAATTTGATCGACCCGTCTTTCAGACCCTTGAAGAAGTTTGTGTAGGCTACTTCGTCAGACAGCCCCTGGATCTGAATTCTCATCAGATTGAACCGCCTGACATAGGACCTTAGCCCTTCTTTATCTCCTAGATGAATAGCCCCCAAATCAAGATTTGTCTTTTTGGTTGTGATGTTCATAGAGAAGTTGGACGCGAACAAGTATGCAAGCGTCTTGAATTTGTTGATGCAATCGGCTTACAGATTACCAAACCATCGTTGGGCTATGCCCTTCAACATTGCCATCCAACCCCTGTAAGTACATGAGGTTGGTATAAGCCATTAGGTACCCCCAAAAAGGGCCGGCTGCATGTAGGGTGATCCATATGGCATGTATGGCTGTTGGGGCACATACGGAGTCGACCGGATAATCTGAGGGCCAGTACGTGCAGACATGCCGCGTGACTGACTCTCTCGGTTTGTTTTCGAATACCTCATTGAAGTGTTCCGGACACTGTCTGGGTAAGTCCACGTTGAAGCCGACTCAGACAATTGTTGACTTCTCTTCTATTATATTAACATCTGGGCATCCAAGTAAGTCTTTTTTTATCCATCCGGCTGGATTTGCCAGATGGCCTTCCTTTTCCCTGGTTCAGGGAAACGGAATTTTGATAGATCGAGCATAGGCCCATCTGTCCTCTTTGGCTTAGGGTGAGGAGTAGGCACTCGATCCTTCACTTGCTTCTTCCAAGAGGGAGAAGGCTTCTTGGCCGACTGACCCTTGTTGGTGCCAGTAGACTTGTTTATAAGGTCCTTGATTTCCCCTTTGAAACTCGTCATGAATTTCATGAGCTCGTCTCTTGTAACGGGGGCAGCACCCTCTGCCGCTTGGGGTGTCCTAGCCGACTTGACGGTTTGGTTGCTTGGACTAGCTTTGTCTTCGTCCAGTTCCTTTGTTTCCTTGGAACGGGTGCGTTTTGTTTTAAATGAATCGTCTGGGGCCACATAGGTGTTGACTTCAAGGTCGTCACTACTATCTTGGTCCGTGTGGACCTCGGCTTCGGCTATAGGTCGTTTGCCTTCAGCAGGCGGTACAGACTCTGATGCCATCTCAAAAGTACTCTCCCCACAGACGGCGCCAAATGTTTTGGGGTTTTTGGAGTCCCTCAGGAGAGTTACAATTCCAAGAATGTGCGTCGACCATCTATACCTGCAAAACCACGAAAAACTCTAGTTGGGTGGATTTCTGCCTCCGACGATCAAGTTAGAACGTATCCGTATGCATAAAAGTGCGGAATGTAAAGGTTTTTCTCTCGGATTCCGAGAGAATTCTGCAATTAATATTTCTTGGGTTTTGTGTGTATATAAATGGATCAGCAATAAATGAGGATTTTCCTCTATTTATAGCAGTGGCGGACCCAGGAATTTCCGACTGGTGAGTCACAATCGATAACCAAATATGTAAAAAAAAATTTGACAACATGACAAGCTTAGCTCTCTAATAATTGACAAGATTAAAATCTGTACAAGCATTAGGGTGTATTGACAATTTGACAAACATAATTGACTATATCATTAGGGTGGGTCGACTATATTAGAAGCAATCGTCCGAATCGCCAATCAAATCAGCACATATGCAAAACCCCATATAAATCTACCAAAGCCAATGGTGTATTGACAATTTGACAGACATAATTGACATCAATAAACACTGACTACAATTCACATGGTAAAAAAGGTTCAAATTTCATCAAAAAACCCAACAACATTAACAAAAGGTTCAAAGTTTACCAAACAAACAACAACAAAATCAACTAAAGAAAATAATTTTTTAAAAAACTTAGAAATTTTTTTTGGGCCCTGGTGAGTCAAATATGACTCACCATGCACAAGGGTAGGTCCGCCAATGATTTATAGTGTAAGGGGATCAGTTCCCCTTTCATGGGTTGGAGTGCCACGTGTCACCAGAGG